AAAACCTAAGATCTGAAAGTAACTAGAAGTGAGGGAAGAAATGAACAAGCTAAAACTGTCTTGTCCTGACAGTACACTGACTCCATCTTGTGTCTTCTCAACCCTAGGCCCCTCTGAAAAGTCAGGTTGGCCATGGCAATACATTTGAGACTTTCCATAAACTTGACCAGATGCATAACCAAATATCTGCTGAATATATTACCAAAAGGAATGCCACTAGGCTCCCCTGGCCCTTCCTCTGACAATAACATTACTCTGGTTTTTGTCTTTAAGAAAACTGTACCCCTGAGCTTTGGTGCTGAGAGTTCTAAGGGCAAAAGTCATCATCATCACTATCATCATCATCATCATCATCACTACCATCATCATCCTCACTATCATCATCATCACTATCATTACTGTCATCATCATAAAAATCATCATCATCCCCACTACCATCATCCTCACTATCATAATCATCATCATAAAAATCATCATCATCCTCACTATCATCATCATCCTCACTACCATCATCTTCACTATCATCATCACCACTATCATCATCATCACTATCATCATCATCAAAATCATCATCATCATCACTACCATCATCTTCACTATCATCATCACCACTATCATCATCATCACTATCATCATCATAAAAATCATCATCATCATCACTACCATCATCTTCACTATCATCATCACCACTATCATCATCATCACTATCATCATCATAAAAATCATCATCATCATCACTACCATCATCCTCACTATCATCATCATCATCATCATCATCACTATCATTACTGTCATCATCATAAAAATCATCATCATCCTCACTATCATCATCACCACCACCACCATCATCATCATCACTGTCATCATCCTCACGATCATAATCATCATTACCTTCATCATCACCATCCACTTTGTCATCAACATCATCACTATCATGGTCATTATCACTATCATCATCACCTCACCTTCATGACTATCGTCATCATCATCATCATCATCATCATCATCATCATCATCATCTCTTCATGTGTATATCTCCCAAGTGCTAGGATTACAACATGCCAGGAATACATAATAAATAATATCTTTGAAATTAAAGTAATTATATAACTTTCCCCTTCCCTCTTCTCCCTCCAACCTTTCCCACAAACTGTCCTTGTTTTCCTTCTCAAATTCATGACCTCTATTATTTGTTGTCACACACACATATGTATGTGTATGTATATGTGTGTGTGTTTGTGTGTGATTATATGTGTCTATATATTCCTAAATATATTAATGCAATATATTTGGTCCATATCGAGATACTTGTGTGTCTATGCTTTCAGGGATGAGCATTTGGTTTGGTTAACCAATCTGGAGGCTTTTCCCTTGGGAAAACTAATCTCCTGCCCTCAGCATGCCTTAGTAGCTTGTAGTTCTCTGTCTAGGATTGAGGTCCCATGACAGTAGTTCTCAACTCTCCTGTTGCTGGCACCCTTGAATACAGTTCATAACTGTAATTTTGCAACTGCTATGAATTATAATGTAAATATCTGATATGCAACTCCTATGACCAAAAGTGTCACAACCCACAGGTTGAGAACCACTGCCCCAGAAGATACCCTTTTCCATGTTAGCAAATCCATTGATGGCATCCTCGTTCAGGTCATGGTTTTGCTTTGTTTTTGTTTTGTTTTTTAAATTTATTAATTACATATACAGTGTTCTGCATGCAATTATGCCTGTACCCTCTTAACCCCTGGGCCATCTCTCCAGCCCCTCAGGTCATGTTTAAGCAGTCATATTGATGGAGACTTCATGGGTGTAGCTTCTCTGACATTTCTAGGAGGCAAAGTTTCACAGCCAACTCTCTGCTTCTCTGGCTCTTAATCTTCCTGTCACCTCTTTTGTCATGATCCCAGAGTCTCCGGTGAGGTTGTATCTGTTGGGTTGGACTGCACTATCACTTGTTCTGTGTACTTAGATCATGTGTAGTTTTTTGTAATAGTCTCTATCTGTTGTAAGGAGACGGTTCTTTGGTGAGGGGTGGGATCTATATTTATCTGGGAGTATAAGGACAAATATTTAAAATGTAGTTAGGCGGTGTACTGGTCTAGTAAACTGGTAGGTGTAGGTTCTCCTTCAAGAGCTATGATTTGCTAGTCTAGGGTAGTTAACTAGGTTTCCCTCTTGTGTGGCCTTAAGCTCATTTAGAGAGCTATTGGCTGTTGCTAAAGTACAGATACCACTATTGTGCCCTTGGAAAAATTGTGCCACATTGCCCATAGGGCCTAGGCATCATAGCTGGGCAGGGCTATTGCTTGCTTCCCTCCCTTGAAAGCTTGGATAAAACTATCATAAAGACATTTTTAAGCTGTCTGTTTTCTTGGAGTGTGCCCCAGGGACAAAACCCTGACCCGGTTCATAGCTGATGACCCCTGCTGCTATGGCAACAAGCAGTTTTCTGGTGAATTCAATTACTGGGCTTCCACAGTGAGAGCAGAGAGCAGGAGTTGGCCTCCTGCCAGACTTTGAGAAAATTCCTTCCACAGGGAAAGTGCAGGGCTTGAAGGGAGGGACCAATCTGGATTTAGATGATTAAAACAATTTACCAAGGGTGGAACTGAACTGAAATCCAAGATGACTCTGAACAGGGTGGGGAGATGGAGGTTAGTAACATCCTGTCACATGTTTATCCATTCTGAAAATTGAGTTGTACTGTTTTAAATATTCATGTATGCACATACATACATATGCACATTTATTTCCCCATCTAGTACCATGGGGATTTTCTCATACTATAAAGAGCCTTTCTCTTTTTCTTTATTACTGTTTATTCATTTGTTACATATTTATGAAAGGCCCTTACTACATTGCCTGGGCTGACTTCAAACTCCCAAGCCTTCTGTCCCAGCCTTCCAAGTGTTGGGACTATAGGTGTGGACCTCTGTACGCAGCATTGTACTATTCTTTTCTCCAAGTACTATGACTTGCCAAACTTGTATCAACATTTTCTTTTTCCAGCATTTCTCTCTGTAGCCTTGGCTGTCCTCGAACTCACAGAGATCTGCCTGCCATTGCCTCCTGAGTGCTCGGCTTAAAGGTGTACACTACCACCCGGCAGCATTTCTACTTTTATTGCTTTTAATTATGTATCTGTGTCTGTGGATAACTTCAGGTTCCCATGGAGGTGTCAGTACTATGAGGAGCTCGGGTCACAGGCCAGTGTGAGCTGCTGGATATGGGTGCTGGGAACTGGACTCCAGTCCTCTGCAAGACTAAAACACTCTTGACCACTAAGATATCTCCCTAGACTTTTATTTTTAATTATTAACTTTTTGGGTTTTTTTTTGTTTGTTTGTTTGTTTTTAAGTTTCTCTGTGTAGGCCTGGCTGTCCTGGAACTCTTATAGACCAGCCTGGCTTTGAACTCAGAGATTTACCTGCTTAAAGATGTGCACTACCATGCTTGATCTCCTTATTTTCATTTTAAAAAAATCATTTTTGGGGCTAGAGAAATACATCATTGGTTAAGAGCATGTACTGCTCTTCTAGTGGACCTGAGTTTGATTTCCAGTACCCTGATACAGATATTCACAACAACCTGAAACTCCAGTTCCAGGGGAGGCACTGTACTCATTTGCACACACACACGCACACGCGCGCGCGCGCGCACGCGCGCGCACACACACACACACACACACACACACATTTTTAATTATCTATTTTTATTTCATGTGCATTCATGTTTTTGCCTGCATGTATGTTTGTATGAGGGTGTTGGACACCCTGGAACTGGAGTTACACAGTTGTGAGATGCCATGTAGGTGCTGGTAATTGAACCCAAGTCCTCTGGAAGAGCAGCCGATACTCTTAACCACTGAGCTACCTCCCCAGCACGATGAAATTTTAAAATAATATAAATAAGTAAAATATTTTAAAATACAAATTTTATATTTCTGTATATGTATGTGGTGTGTGTGTGTGTGTATGTGGTGTGTGTGCGTGTATGTGGTGTGTGTGTGTGTGTTATGTGGTGTGTTTGTATGTGTATGTGGTGTGTGTATGTGTTATGTGTGTGTGTGGTGTGTATGCACCCACATGTGTACTTGTGTGAGTATGTATGCAGAAGCCATGGTGGGTGTCAGCATCCTCTTTTAACCACTCTCCCCCTTTATTTTTAGGTTTTGAGACAGGTTCTCAAAGCTCAGACTGGCCTTAAATTCACTGTAGAGCTGAGGATGACCTTAAACTCCTGATTTTCTTGTGTCCACTTCCAAAGTTCTGACATTGCAGACATGTGCCACAGGGTGCCAGGTACTGAACCTGGGTGTTTATGCGTGCTAGGCAAGCATTCTACCAATTAAGCTGAATGAAAAAAAGAAAAAAAAAAAAAGGAAAGGACATGATGGCTCCTAGGTATGGTGGAGGAGAAGCCTTATTGTAGATAAAAGGGAGAGATAGCCAGAGGCAGGGGCATCTGGGAGAGCCCAGAGTGGCCATGACCCTGAGTCATGTGAAGAGAGGGCATGATGGAGAGGGGGAGAGTCAGACCAAGAAGCCAGGAGGGTAAAGGCTAGATAAAAGAGAGACCAGGGAACCCAAATGGCTGGATTATAAGGGAAAGGCAGCTGGGGGAAGGGCAGCCCAGTGCTTGGGCTGGAGAAGTTTAGGGTAGGGGGTGGGGTTGGGACTGAAGGATGCTGGAGGAGCCTGGTGTCAGCATCGGCTTTGATATGTTAATGGCACCTCAGTGAGCCACAACCCCAGCTCTGTGCCAACACTATAGCTATACAGCTATGTTGTATTACTTTGTCTTAATGTGTGAAACTACATTTCATTTCTTCCTTCTTTCTCTGCATTGTAAACAGCAATGCAATGAGCCTTCTTATGTCTAAGCGCTTGTGCAAAGAGTATGCCCTGTTTTGAGGATCCTATCCTGTTGCTAAATTACTAGGACTACTATGCCACCCTCTGGGGACACAGCGTGTGAGCATCAGCATTTCTGTTTTTGCCTCATGTTCAAAGTCTGGTACCACACAGCTCTGTGACAATTGTTTTAAAGCCAATTCATCTGGGCCAGAAGGATGGCTCAGCGGATAAAGGTGCTTGCCTTCAAGCCTGACCACTGAAGTTCAGGAACCGGAAGAAACTGTCCTCTCACCAGGTATGCACTGCAAGCCAGGATGGCTAACAGCCAGACCTACAGCGGAGCCAGGACTTCCCCCAGCTGTCTCTTGTGTCTTGCTGGATCTGATGCAGGAGCATTCTTCTGGAGGACTCCAGAGCCCAGCCCACTCCCCTCCTCAGTTCCTACACTTCATCTTTTTCTGTCCCTTTTCTCTCTTTTCTGCTTTCTCTTCCTCCCTGATTTTTTTTTGCCTACACTTCATCTTTTTCTGTCCCTTTTCTCTCTTTTCTGCTTTCTCTTTCTCCCTGATTTTTTTTTTTTGGGGGGGGGCTGGGGGCGTTCAAGACAGAGTTTCTCTGTGTAGCTTTGGAGCCTATCCTGGCACTTTCTCTGGAGACGAGGCTGGCCTCGGACTCACAGAGATCCCCCTGCCTCTGCCTCTGCCTCTGCCTCCCGAGTGCTGGGACTAAAGGCATGCACCACCAATGCCCGGCTAGATTTTTTGTTTTGTTTGTGACAGGGTCTTACTGTGTGGCCCCGACTGGCCTGGAACTTAATATGCAGATCAGGGTGGCCTTGAATTCAAAGAGATCCACCTGCCTCTGCCTCTCAAATGTGGCATGAAAAATGTGTGTCACCAGGACTGGCTTCTCCTTCTACTACTTTAACTCTGGTCTTTGTCTGGCTCTTTTCTCTGTGTGTCTGCTTTTTCTTTCCCTCTTCTCTGTTTCCTTCTCCTTTCAATGTTTTCTCCCTTGAATTCACCCTTCTTTCTTTTCCTTTCCAGTGGCTGCTTGTCCTCCACCCACCACTTCAGCAGTGTGAGTCACTATTTCCATAGAGAGATCAGTGAACCTGGCTTTTCCAAGCTAGGACTGGATTTGAATGAAGGTGAGCTTGCCTCTCCCAAGGCAATGCTAGCACATCACAGAACTGGGAGCTAACCCAGCGTGCTGCAGGCAGCATGAGCTTCCAGGATTGGGAGTCACACATTCCATGGAGCTTGTCTCCAAGGCTCTGTCACCCGGGCTTTATCACACTGGGCTGATGACTCATCAGAGGCTCAATGGCAGTGGGGAGCAGACTTCTCCATATATTCAGGTTTAAGATGCCAAGCAGGGAGCCCAGCAGCACAGCAGGTCACCATAACCATGCTTCCCACTGTGTGGCCTCACACGACAATGCCAAAGTGAGGGTGTTTTAGGAAGCAAACTCCTACACTCCCAGACATATGTGGGCAGATAGGTCTCAAAGCATTGTTTGTTTTACCCAAAGGTCCTCTCACACCTATGCATGTACATGTGTGTGTATGTGTGCCTGTGTTTGCATGCATGCACATATCTTTGTGCATGTCTCCTTAATATAATATCTGTTATCAGAAAATGGCTAAACAAATGATGTCTCCTATTATGAATAATATTCATCCACTAAAGGGAATGAGGTATCCATAGAAGCATAGAGCAGATTATTGATAACCAAGAAGTGTGAAAAGGAAGAATGGGGGATTATTGCTTAATCTCTCCAGAAGAGTGTTTTGTTTTGTTTTGTTTTGTTGAGATAGGAGTTCTCCATGTAGCCCAAGCTGGCCTGAAAGTTTGGGTCCTCCTGCCTCTGCCTCCTGAGTGCTGTAATTATAGGCATGTATTCCCCAGATCCAGTTTGGGTGCTGAGTTTCTATTTGGGGATCATTGTATGATATATTTTTTAAAAGCTTTATTTATTTATTATGTATACAGAGTTCTGCCTGCAATTATCCCTGCAGGATGGAAGAGGGCACCAGATCTCATTATAGATGATTGTGAGCCACTATTCGGTTGCTGGAAACTGAACTCTGGAGGAGCAACCAGTGCTCATAACCTCTGAGCCATCTCTCCAACCCCCAGACTTCTGTGGGTTTTTGAGAAAGGGTCTTGTGTCGCTTAGACTGACCTTGAACTCACTGCATTTACACACACACACACACACTTATACACTGCCACCAAATTACAAATTAATATATATACCAACAAGAAAGATGTTCAAGACTAACTGAGACTAAGACGTATGGTATAAATTATGAAAGAGTGTGAGTGTGTTCTTGTGTGCTCACAGAAAGGAATCATATCACTTTCAATGGAGGCTGGGCAGGCAAGGAAGGGGGAAATTCTTGGTCTTTATTGTACCAAAAAAAAAAAAAAAAAGATACTGGATTATAGATGACTGCCTTTTAAAATTTATTGGTTTAGTAGTGTGTGTGTGTGTGTGTGTGTGTGTGTGTGTGTGTGTGTGTGTGTTTTCCTTTGAAAAAGATACTACACCCCGCCATCCTTTAAAGATCTCAGGACCAAGTGAGAAATTATATATATTGGGGCAGCATATTAGAATACTTAGTGTAGAAGCACAGTCGGGGGACAACTTGGGCCAGCTAGAAGCTGTCAGGAGAGGGGCTCCCTGGAAGAGGTGACATTTTGGCTTCAATTGCCAAAAGGTGGTCACCAATTGGAGGGGCAGAGCTCCCAGAATGAGGCCAGCCTTTTCCGATGCCAGCTGGATTCCAGACCCAGGGAATATGGGAAGGAAGGTGGTTTCCTTTAAACCTCTCTCTTCTGTTTGTTGTTAGGTGATGGGGACTGGCAGCTCCTTCTATTTCCTGGTTAGATAGAGATTGTGGGGACAAGCCAGGAGAGGTTTAACGGTTCTCCAAAGAAATTTCCCCTCCAAGTTCCTAAGGGTGTTCAGTTTTCTCTCTGAGGTCAGGGGGTGAATTTTAGGCGTTTCCCCTCCGGTTTTATGAGTCTTGTGTCCTGGAGGCATGGTCTCCGCGGAGGCCCACAGAACTGTTCCGCAGCGCCCTCTGTTGGCCGGAATCAGAGAGGCAGGCTCTCGCCCTTGCAGTGCCTTGTCCAACCAGTCTGGGTGGTTAGACAAGGGATAGCCTGGATGGACTCTTACAGAGGGAGAGGGAAGAGCTTGTCAGAAAATCCAGCTTTTGGGAGTGAGGCTGGATTTGAGGAGTTAAGATAAAAAGAAGAAGAAAGATTGGGAAAAACATCTTGGAGTTAGGGAGAGAGTCACAGCCTTGCCAAACCTGTGCGTATAGCTGATAGTTTGTGCCTTTGAGCTTTTTCTTCAGACTGGTATTTCTTCCTGGAACCAGACCTCCCACCCCTTTATCTCTCTCCCTCTAATCTCAACCTCTCCTCAACTCTGATACAGGTTCTCACTAAACAGCCCAGACTGTCCTTGAACTCATCACTTTCCTCCGTCAGTCTCCAGAATGCTGGAGTGCTGGGATAGCAGTGTGCATCACCATGTCTGTTTTTTTTTTTTTAAACAGTAAGTAGTGTTAAACATATCAGATATTTATAAACATCAGCATGCCCATTTCTTAGCTTGATGCACAAGGCCTGCTAAGTGATGGCGGTTTAAATTTGTGCTTTTCATCATGTGGTAATTTCTCATTTGAAATGCTGGAAACAGAATCATAGCCCTATGCTAATACTAAGCAAAAGCTCTACCTGGCCCTCCTTTATTAAGATAGCTTATTTTTGTTTTATGCATATGGGTGTTTTGCCTGTGTGTTTATGGCTCTTCCATGTGCTTGCAGGCATGGAGTCCATCAGATCCTCTGGAACTGGAGTTACAGATGGCTGTGAGCCTCCATGTGGAAGCTGGGAACTGAACCTGGGTCCTCTGGAAGAGTTGTCAATACTCCTAAGCACTGAGCAATCTCTCCTTTCCCTCCTCCTGGTGCCACCCCTCTCCCCCCCTACGCTTTTTTTGCCATAGAGTCTCACCACAATGGCCCAGGCTGACCTCCAATCGGCAATCCTTCTGCCTCAGCCTCTCAAGTGCTGAAACTACAGTTTTGTGACACCAGGACAAGCCCTTTGTAGGTTTCCATTTACAGCATATTTATATGCATGTAAAGATGCATAAAATCAGAAAATTATAGATACATCCTTTATATATGCTATGCTACATACATAGCTCATGGTATGCAATGCATGTATATATACTAGATGTAGTATAGTAGTGTGTATCTGTCTATGCATACGTATGTGTGGATATGTATATTATATGGAGGGAAGGGAGGGAGAGAAGAAAGGAGGGAGAGAGGAAGAGCGGGAGGAAGAAACTGTTTCTGCATTTAACATTCTGCATTTAAGATTAGTTCCAATTTTTTCTTCATTGCTAAATCCACCAAGTGATTAATTCTTCTGGAAACTTCTCCAAACTCGCAGGCTAAGCCAAACACTTCTTACCTCCTGTGCTTTTGTGTTCATCCATTTCTGCTGAACCAGCACATTTGGCAGTGTGCTTGTCTGTCCCTCCCTGGCAGCCTCAGACTCAGAGATTCCTGGGGGTCTGTACTCTGAGAGTCTTGGAAAGATGGGAGGAGTTTTCTCCTACCACCTGCTACCAGTAAACAGGCAGATGATCTGAGTCTGGAAACACATGGTGTAACCTGCTACCAGTAAACAGGCAGATGATCTGAGTCTGGAAACACATGGTGCATGTGTGCTTGTTCGTGTGTGTGTGCGTGTGTGTGTGTGTGTGTGTGTGTGAGAGAGAGAGAGAGAGAGAGAGAGAGAGAGAGAGAGAGAGAAAGAGTGAGTGTATACACATGCGTGGGCACCCACGCCTTCTCACACTGGAACTTGCCATGGAGGTCAGGCTAGTTCACTGCTGGCAGGGAATAAAGCCAGGAAGGCCAGTGAGGCCAGGATAAGGCTTTGAACTTTAATCAGCAGGTGGTTCCCAGACGGACTTTGTAGCAGAGATAGAAGAAGCTATGGGAAATGTTTTCAGAAGGGAGGAATGGGGTCCTAGCACCTCAAGATTGACTGTGAAGGGAAGATTCATGGAGAAGCCAGAACAGGAACCTGGCCCTGCAAAGCCCTGGCCCAAAGGACGAAGACCCTTAAGGATAGATAGCTAGGGATGCTCAAGGGCCAGAAGTTTGAGAAGGTTCAGAAGAATGGTGCCTATTGGCCGAGCTTTGTTTCTGAGCTCCTGGATCCTTTGCTTTGTTTTTTCAGACAGAAGAGGTGGTG